CACCCCCCCCCCTCCCCCGGGTTCCAACGCCTTCCAGGGGCGACTCCGACCCCTCTCCCTAGCGCACGCCCCAGTCACCTCATTCTCTCTCTGCAGAAAGTCCTGACGGCCATGGACAAGACGTGGCACCCGGAGCACTTCTTCTGTGCGCACTGCGGGAAGGTGTTCGGCGATGATGGTGCGTCTCTCCCACCCCTCCCCGCCACATGTGGAAAGTTGGGATTCTACAGGGATCTAGCCCCGTCTATTGGCCCACAGCCCTGTGCTCATCCAGCTCTGGACTCCCTGCCAAAGCTTTGCCTACACTCTCCATTCCCAGCCCCCTGTTATCCCGGCCCTCAGTCCCTCCCCCCACACTGTGCCCCTCAATCCTGGCCGCAGACGCCTGCTATCCCAGCCCTGCTCCCCCCAGCCCTGTCAGCTCCCTATAAACCCCCCCAGTCTCCCGCCTCCTGCTGTTCCAACCCTGGGCCGCCAGACGTGAGCTGTGATTCTGGGAGGTGCACGGACCAGGGGCAGGTCTGGAAGGGAGCTGGGCTGCCATGGTAAGTGATACCAATAGATTCCCTTCCTCTGAGGCCCTGTGAGCCGCAGGTTTATGGGGCCAGAGCTCTGGCCATTAGCCCCAGTGTGTGACCGGGCTGACCTTTCCCACCGGTGTCACCCAGACAATGTTTAATTGTGCCGCGGTGGCACAGTGGAGCCTCCAAGAACCACTGTGACCACTTGCTCAGAGTCTGGTCAGGGGCATGAAATCCCCACCCCAGCAGTAATTGTCCCTCCAAGCATTTTGCCTTCCGTTCTCCCATCTCCCTCCCTGTGCAGCGTGAGGTGTGTTAATTGCTTGCTCCCTGGGCCTCTGGTGGCAGCAGCTCGTTAATTTCCCCAGGGGGCCGCCGCAAAAACACTCCGGCCCTGCCATGGGATGGGTTTGCTAGGCCGTATTCCCGCCAGTCCTGCTCCCTAATTGGCACCAGAGAGAGAGCTGGTGCCGAGGGCCTGGCTCGTTCCCATGCTGCTAATTACTGCAGTGTTGTGGAAAGCTGAATTGATGAGTTTGGGCCCCGGCTCCTCCTGGGGCTGGTTCTTGCTTTGTCCCCTCCTGCGTCCTGCCTTTGTTCTCAGGGGCCTCTCTGCCCGCCCCAACTTAGTGCTAAGTTGGAGGAGTTTGGCTGCTTGTTGAGCGAAGCAGGGACTGTGCTCAGCTTTGTACGATGCCTAGTACAATGGGGCTGGCTGTGGTCTTGATTCGAGGCCTCCTCCATGGTCTCAGTGCTGCTCCTGACATGGTGACCTCGCCTTGTCCCAGCTCTGTCCCCGCAGGGGCAGCCAGTTCTGCTTGCACTTGTCCCTCACAGCATGCCCCTGCCTGGAGAGCGTCTAGCTCAGCTCTGGGCTGGTGGCTTGACTCTGAATGCCTGCTCCTCGGGTACCTGGTCTCTCCAAGCAATCCTCTTGCTGCCTTTACTCTGGTTTCTTGTTATGGTAACACCCAGAGAGGCTCTAGCTGAGATCACAGCCTCATTGCTCTGGGCACAGCACAGTCACCCAGTGAACAGCCAGGACCATCCCTAGGAAGGCGTGAGACCCAGGGCAACCCAGGTGTGGGGCCCCTGCTCCTGCCCCACCTCTTCCTGCCCTACCCACTGGCAACCCCATTGCACCCCTTCCCCAAGAGACACAATCTGCGGGATCACTGGGGGGCCGGGATGGGCAGCACCAGGGGTCATGCCCCCTACACTCAACACGGCAGCGGGAGCCGTGGGAAGCGGAATGATGCAGCTGCGTGCTCCATTCTGCCATCATCTCCCAGCTGGGTCACTCTGCCTCACCACAGCAGTGGGAAGTGGAGCATCCTGCCTGGCCCCAGCCCACTCTGCACCCCGAGTTGTGGTTCCCCCCAGGTAATCCCCGAGGCCACCCTGGGCATGTCTAGACTGCATCCCTCTGTCGACAGAGGGATGAGATTAGGCAGGTTGACAGTGCAAATGAGGCAGGGATTTAAATATCCCGTGCCTAATTTGCATAAAATGGCTGCCGCGTTTTGCGGACTCAGCACTTGGTTGGCAAAAAGTGGCAGTCTAGAGGGGGATCTGTCGAGAAAGAAAGCCTTTTCTGACAGATCCCTTATGCCTCCTGCAAGGAGGTTTACAGGATCTGTTGAAAAAGGTTTTATTTCTTGTCAGATTCCCCTCTAGACTGCCGCTTTTTGCTGAGTCGGCAAAATGTGGCAGCCATTTTATGCAAATTAGGCACGGGATATTTAAATCCCTGCCTTATTTGCAATGTCGATCTGCCTAATCTGCATCCCTCTGCCGACAGAGGGCTGCAGTCTAGACATACCTCTTGGGCCCTGTGGCTGGCGGCTAACATCAATATGGGGGACCCATCCATCGGACAGTTGGGCAGTTTCTGTGGGCCCCCTCTCCCCAAAGTGCAGAGCCTGGGGTGGCTTCCCCAAAGTGTCCTATGGATGGGACAGCTCTGGAGACAGCCCGGACCCCCAAGAGCTTCTCAGCTAAGCAGGCAAGACAAAGGTTGGGAGACTGGAAGGCTCTTTACCTTCATTTTATAGGAGGGGAACTCGGGGCTGTGGAGAATTGGCTTGTCCAGGTCACACAGGGAGTCTGTGACAGATCTGGGCTCCGCACTCACATGTGAGGGCCCGGTGCAGAGCCACAGCTACAAACCCAGCCTTTTTCTGTGAGGCGGGGCAATTCCCGGGGCGTTCTCAGCAGCGACTGAGAAGTCAGAAAGCAACATCCCTTGGGCTCAGGTTTTTAAAAGGTATTTCAGGCATTGCTGTGTGTAGTGTTGCAATGCCGGATTGATTTAGGACCCTAAAAGGGATTTAGGTACTTTCTGGGACTTAGGCTCCTAAATCTGTTAGGCATCTCAGCCCTGAGGACAGCAATGTCTAAAGGCCTGTAGAAATCTGGGCCCTCGGGACTAGTGAGAATCTCTCCCTGTAAGGCCTGAGTTTGGCCACAGCAGGATGTGGCTGTGAGAAATTCACTTCTTAAAGGGGAGTATCCGTGTGCTGTGTTTACTGCCCAGTGTAACTTGGGTACCTTCTCCAGCTGCCTGCGGGAGGTCCTCTTCTGTGTCCTCCCATTGGATTCATGGAGGTCTCTCTGCCTCCTTGCCTCCCCAGGTTTCCATGAGAAGAACGGGAAGCCATACTGCCAGAAGGACTTCCTGGCCATGTTCTCTCCGAGATGCAAAGCCTGCGAGCGGCCCGTGATGGAGAACTACCTGTCTGCGCTCCAGGGTGTCTGGCACCCCGAGTGTTTTGTGTGCGGGGTGAGTGCGTGGAGTCCCACCCCCGGGGCTCGAGGGAGCCTGGGCTTTCACCTACAGGAAGGTGATGCAGGGCGTGGGCAGGTGAGGGCCAGGAGATGCTCTGTATGATGGAGTAAGAGGCTCCGCAGTAGCTGAGTGTGAGCCCAGCTCATGGCCAAAGGCTAGAGGGTGAGGGCAGTGGTCCCATCTGGGGCTTGGATGGGTAGGGGCCGAGGCACCATAGACAGGTCGCCATGGTGCTCAGTTAGGGATGAGGTCTCAATGCTCCTTTCTCCTCCTTCAGGACTGTTGCAGCTCCTTCACCACCGGCTCCTTCTTCGAGCTAGACGGCCACCCCTACTGCGAGCTTCACTACCACCAGCGCCGGGGCTCAGTGTGCCACGGCTGTGGGAAGCCCATCGCCGGGCGCTGCATCAGCGCTATGGGACACCGGTTCCACCCCGAGCACTTCATCTGCGCCTTCTGCCTCGGCCAGCTGCATAAGGGCACCTTCCGGGAGCAGGGCGACAAAGCCTACTGCCACGCCTGCCACAGCAAGCTCTTCGTGTGACTCCCCGGTGGGCGGCGTCCCCACACCAGCTCCGCGGGGCAACCTCCTCTGGTGTCCAGGGGCTGAGCTATTGAGAGAGGGACCAGGGGCCTGTCGCCACAGAGCAGCCCCTTCCAATGGGCTAGAACCGCTGATGGTTTAAATCAATAGAGCTCCACTGATGTCCTCGCTGGGTTATACCAGCAGAAGGTCTCCCCAGTGACAGCCACTGTGGTCTCCTTCCCCTTACACCCTGCCCCTTAGACATATCTGCCTGGCTCTTCTGCTTCTTCAGGCTGTTCTCTGCTTCTCTCCCCTACACTGCATGGCGTAGCCTGCTCCTCTGGTCTCCCCTCCGAGCTATACACATCATCTGTGGAACTGGGTACAGCGGCTGCTGCCCAGAAATAAACATCTTGGTCTCCTCTGTGGTTGGTCCTGCATGTGAGTGTGGACAGAGGGGCGTTAGTTTGAGGGGAAGGGACTGATTCTGAGACTTCCAAAGCTGCATCCCTGGGTTTCACCTCAGAAGGGAATGATAAGGACTAAAGGATAACTGCTGTGGATCTAGAGGTGGGCTACAACCTTTCAATTCTGGAGAAGCAGGTTAACAGGGTTTCCCAACCTATGGGTCGGGACCCAAATATGGGTCACCATTATATTTCAAGAGGGTCGCCAGATGTCTCCTAAGATGACTCTTGAGGAGCCATTCACACATTTTTTGAATTGCCCTGGGTCACCAAGTCTTCCTGAATTGTCAAAATGGGTCCCCATCTGGAAAAGTGCTGCACCTCGCAATCTTACAAGACCACCCCAGTGCTTTACAGAATGGTGTTAGAATATGCTCCATACAGGGGGAGCAGGGCCAGCTCTAGGTTTTTTGCCGCCCCAAGCAAAAAAATGTTTGGCTGTCCCCCCCTTTTTTTCCTCTGAGGAGGTTGCGCGCACAAATGCAGTTTGTGCAGCTTGCTAGGGGTGTGCACACAAATGCAGCTTGTGCAGCTTCCTGGGGGAGAGGGGTGTGCTTCGGGTGGAGTCCAAACCCCAGGGCATTTTTATCTCCTAGGAGAGCGCCAGGGACTCCCCAAGAGAGGACAATAGGAGGGCAGGTTCATTCACAGCAAGTCAGTTAAAGACTTCACTCTGCAAAGGTATTTTATTATTAGAAGCCTTATATTCAGACTTCAACCCCAACACATAGCTATTCAACTCTTGGTGGACAAGAATCAGCCTCACTATACAATCAGACAGTTCAAAGGAATTAAGAAAACTTTTGTTTCAACTCCCCAGTTCAACTGTCCAGAACAAGACAGGAACCAGACAACAAAACCCCACTAGCCTAGGACCTATTCCATGAGCTCAGCCCTGTGCTTTCTCCTTCAAGGACTGCAGGGTAGATTGATTTAAATAGCTTTGATTTAAATATATAATTTTTAATCATGATTTAAACAGGCAAGCAGAAAACCTTGGTTTAAATGAGCAATTAATCATTTAAATTATACTTTTAAAATATTTTCCTAAAGGATGGTTGAGTCTTATTAATTAGCAACCTTTAAAACATGTTGATTTACAACTAAATATAACCTTTTTGCCAAATTTGGTGCTTCTATTTACTAACCGGGAGAATACACCCAGTACAGCTACAAACTAAATAAATGCCCAAATAAATGTGTAATTTACATGTAATCAGATTCTTATTTTTAACATTTTTATTCTATTACAAATGGTGTATAATAGGAACACTTAGGAGACAGGTTTTACCCCATTTATTATTTGCTAAGTGGTGGCTACTTTTTTAAAAACATATGATTTGCACCTACTTCTGTCTGGATGGAATTTCATTTTAAAACAAAACCAGCTTTTAATTTTTGTTTGAAATAAAACTACCTTAAATGTGAAGGACACATAACAAAAAAGTATCCAACACATTTTGCATCTAAAATTCATTTATTAAGCAAAGGAACTATCCTTAGTGAATTTAACAGATAGAATCTAGTCATCATGTTCTTCAAGATGTTAGAACGTTCTCATAACCAGTTTTTTACTGAGAGAAGAGGAAAACAAGTTTTTCTGCTTCATCAACTCTCGGTTTTGCAACTTTGAATGAACTAATCATTGAATTGAACTAGCTGAATAAACCACAGTGATAAAAACATTCGCTCTTCACCTGCGGAAGAAACTACTGCTAATGTAAACACTCGTTCTGGGTGCTACACAGCAACTTATACTAGTGAACTGGTAGAATTTCTTGAAAAGTTGACAGGAGACATGTTCTATTTAATTTTTAAAATTACTTCATAAGTTATTTCAATAGGTTATGATATATTTAGGCCATAAAAATGTTAATTTAATTTTAAAGGTATATTATTTAAAACGAAGCCTATTTAAATGGGATCACAATTCCAATTTTAATAAAGCTCTCCTGCCCCAGACAGGAAGGGACTTGGGGACATGGGCACTGGGAACACCAGAGTTCCCCTTCCTCAGCCAAAGGGGGAGAGAGAATCACCTGAGTCCCAGGCAGGGATGAGGTGGTCAGGACACAGCACAAGGGGTCTGGGTTCATGGTGGGGCGGGGGGAGAAGGGTTCAGGGCCCCGAGAGTGGGGTGG